CTCTCTCTCTCTCTCGGTGTATATGAACATCGGCACGTATTTTCTATCCGCTTTTCAGAGATGGCCATCTGATGAGTCATCAATCTTCACCATCTTTTCACGAAAAGTTCCTCTCCGCATTACATTTAATCATTCTAAATGACTTTTTCGCATTGTACATTGTTTCCGTTGGCCAAGAAGTGAGGAACATATATTATCACTGATTTCCGATAGAAGAAAAGTGACTCATCTTAAATAATTTCTTCTCATGAAAATTTTCCTCTTATTTCAAGGCTGGCTTCGTATCTACGGTTTACTTGATTTTGCTGGTGGTACTGTTATACACATAGGGAGCGGAGTGAGCGCTTTAGTTGCCGCTGTCATTCTTGGCAAACGACACGACTTCGGTGAGTTCAAATTGATCCCTCTTCCATCTTAGTTCATCTAATCTGCTACTTTAACAACATCAGACCCAAAGGCTGCTATGGCTGGCCACAATCTTCCGTTCACCGTCCTTGGAACAGGCCTTTTGTGGCTCGGGTAAGTTAGAGTTTGCTCTTGTCGTCTACTACTTCACTTTACCTATTCCAGCTGGATTGGCTTCAACGGTGGATCGTCTCTGGCTGCCAATGGTAGGTCGATTAGGCTGTTCTATAATAGTTTCCTGCAGAGGCTTGCACTATATCTTTTAAAACAAAACACGAGTAGCTAATACAGATGCTCTTGAATCAGAGTACATTTTGAATTTCTTCTGCGACAGTCGATATATCAGCAGCGAAACTCTAGGACCCATTGCATACTTGAGACAACCAACTGTCTTCAATTGATGCCACCGATTTTAATGAAACTTTGCTAGTTTGTGGTCCTATGTAAACCACGAAAGTTTTCAAAGTTTCACCTCTGGAAACCCTTTCATTATGAAAAAAATCAAAATGCTCTGGAACATCCTATCACCTATAACAGTACATAACCATTCGCCTGAAAAAGTTCCTGTTATTCATTGATAAGGTTTCTAGTTGTGATTTTTGATATGGATAGTAGACTAATAAACGCCTATTTTTGAAAATCGATTTTCTATCGCTTATGAGCAACTGGTAAGAAGATGTTTCGAGGATAAGCACTAATACCCTTCACGTATAGGAATGCACTTTTAAAAGTTTGGCTTCTGGTTTTGGAGTTTAATGTGGACCAATACGAGTATACGTTACTTTTTACATAAAGTGTTCCAAAGCGAAACATGAGGAAAATTTTCGACGCCCATATATTTTTACATAGTTAGAGATAGCTGGTGGAGTTGATTACGATTATCTCTTCTAAAACATTTTTAACTCGAATTTTACCTGAGAAACTAATGATTAATGAAAATGGTAATCGATGAGAAAATGTTCGAAGCATAGAAAATTTCGACACCAACCACAGATAATAAATCTTTATTGATCACATTCTTCTATATAACAATTGTCATTGAATGATGAAGATGGAAAACAAACATCATAGACATTTTTAGATAGTGTTGGATCATCATCCGTGTAACCACATGCATATCATTGATAACGTATTATCCTTTTGAATACCGGTGCAGAAAACTGGTTATAAATGAATGAAATTTAATAATATTGTTTCTCTCAACCATACAAATATCAATCTTATGTAAATTAACAAAATGATACACTTTTTAGCCTAATTTTTCTATTGTCCATTAAAGTATGCCCCTGTTTTGCGAACTGAAAAGTATTCAAAACTGCAAAGTAAATTAAGTTTCAGTAAAGAATCTTCTGGTAACTTTTTCTCCAATCACACATTATTTAGCTGTTGAAAAATGGTTAACACCACTAGTCAAATGCAGGACTGTTACTTTAAACAATACAGATCAATCGTTTCCATATAGCCCGATGTCCTACGAGTGCGACTTTAGCAGTAATGAGACAGCAACTGATCTGCTTGTCATAGCAACATCCGGTTCAACTTTCCAATTTTACGATGAACACATCGATCATTTTGTTTTTCTGTAAATCTAAGGTCTACTACAGAAGATCCAGGGAAAATCATCTCGAAAAATTGAACCCCAAATCGATCAAGAATAATTCTGCTCAAAAACATTTGAGACGAAATATGAAGTCAGTGAGCGTCGAAATCGACAATGGTCAACTAAACAGTTGCATTGGGTTTTACACATAGAAAGTGAGGAGTGAGGTATGATAGTGAGTCTTAACCAATGTCAAACATAATGATCGATTTTGACGAAGGAGACGCTATGATAAAAATAAACTTATTAATGAACTGGTAACTGGATTTACACTAGCGTTAGTATAGAAACTAACATATTGTCTCTATAAAGTTTGCAGTACCTATTCGTACTCATCCAGCTCTGTTTCGCTCGTTCTACTCATAGCTCATATTCTAACAAAATCTCATGGAATCTCGGGTGATGAAGTGGAAAATTACGGTGAAAATACTACCACTCTAAAGATTAGTCAAAATATATCTCGAGTGAGAAAGTCAAAACATATTAGTTCAAGATATTTTCGAGGCAAGAATCTGTATATATAGCGTACGATTTTCAAATTCCATCAACCAGGCTCCCTTGTAGTGCATAGCTGGGTATCATAGAACTGTCGAATATCTATTCATGTGTAAGAAGTCGGAGTAGTTGTTGAAACACGTGACTTTTGTTGAACAGGAGTGGCGGCATTAGCCATGACGAACACGAACATTGCGGCAGCAGGTGCTTGTTTAATTTGGGTCTTGATGGATGCTATCCAAGGCAAAGTTTCAATAACAGGCGCCTGTTCGGGCTTAGTCGTTGGTCTCGCTACTGGTAAGCTACCTGTGTTCTGTCCTGCAGACACTCACTCAAGACGAGTGATTCGATTGTTGGATTTCATTGGAATCCAATGGAGTTAGTTGCATGTGAACTAATTTCTGGTTTTAGTAACACCCGCTTCCGGTTATATTCAACCAGGTTATGCTCTGCTTATTGGCTGTGTCAGCTCAGCGATTATCTACTGGTGGTTGAAGTTGAAGGCCCTTTTCTTGCACATAGACGATACACTCGATGTATTCTCATGCCACGGCATGAGCGGTATCGTGGGTACGTTTTGCACGGGTCTCTTCTGCCAGATCGACGTCAACCCGCAAGGCGCCAACGGAGCCTTTTATGGCAACCCCTTGCAACTGTGGAAACAGATTGCCGGAATTCTTGTGGTCAGTTCTGTTCTATCTTCATTTTAAAATATTCTATCACATCGACTTTAGACGGCTGCTTTTTCGGCAGTCTGCACAGCAGGCATTCTTCTTCCTATGCATTTCACATTTGGCATCAGACTCAATACCGAAGATCAAATTATTGGAATGGATATGCTAACCCATGGAGAGACGTGGAATGGACCCGCCTGGCATCGTTCTCGCGTAAGCGTTATTAACATTAACAAAACGACTCCTGTGCAGAATCTACCTACAAATGTGAAAATGGCTCCTGTTCCGCCTTCGACCGAAGTGCAAAATCAGCCACAATAGTGGAAAGTCTTCAAAGATATGTTTCACGTATTCTCTTCACATCAGTATCTGCTTGTGTCTGCACAAAGTAACGGATGACCCAGATGGGTGTAGGTATGGATATGAAATACAGAGAATACCTACCACACCCATACCCTCACCCACACTCACACCCTCACTTACATTCACACCCTTCTTGTCGTTACATTTATTATTAGTTGTTCGTTCTTTTTAATACATTAGATTACATTCAAATAAAAAATTCCATAATATTTATTTATTGATAAAAGTAAAATGTTAACTTCTAATGATAAAATTTCTAGGATAAAAAACTTATTAAGTTATTTTCCAAGTAAACCAAAGAAACAAATACAAAACGATATACCGAATCTTTCAAGTGAAGAAAATAAAGCTATATCTAATTTGTTAAATGATAAATCTATAATTATCTTCAAAGCAGATAAAGGAAATGTTATTGTGATATTAAATAAACAGAACTATATTAACAAAGAAAATGAACTGTTAAATGGTAAAAATGTTTTTAAAAAGATTTCATCTAATTTAACTGAAAAACGTGAACAATTACTGATCAACTTTCTTTTAAAATTAAAAAGAAATAAAATTATCAATGAAAAAGAATATAAAGAAAGAAGGCCTATGATGTGCTCCAGAATGCCAGAAGTATATTTCTTAGTTAAAGTACATAAAAAAAACCAACCTGTAAGACCAATAATATCTATTTAGAATTCATATAATTATAACACTGCAAAATATTTAGCTAATTTATTAACATCTGCAACGACATGTAACAAGTCTTATATTAAAGATTCCTTTGATTTTGTGGAAAAAATTAAACAGCATAGAACAACATCAGGATTAATGTGTTCATTTGATGTATGCTCTCTTTTTACCAACATACCTTTAAATAAAGCTATTGAAATTGGTATTAAAAACATTAGAAAATATAATAAGAAATTAAAATTTAATAATGAAGAACTTAGTTGTAATTTAGAGGAAAATATAGACAAGTATAAAAGAAAAAAGCCTGAAATATATTATAGATACGTTGATGATATCTTTATGATGATAAATGGAACACCAAAGGGCATATTAAAATTTTAAAAAATTATGAATAACTTAGAAGCAATTATTAAAGTTACAGTAGGAGTACAAATAAATAATAAATAACCTTTTCTTAATGTCATGGTAGAAAGACAAGATAATAACTTAATTACACATGTATATCATAAACTAATAGATATCGATTTATATCTTAAATGAGTTAGTAACCAACCTAAACAATATAAAATTAATCTCATTAAGTGTCTATGCAATCGAGCTGTATAAATATGTTCATTATTTGCTCTATTAAAGAAATAATTAGATTATTATAAGAAAATATTTCTAGCTAATGGTCATCCACATAATGTAATTAAAAAAGCAATGAGAAAATTCGAATTAAACAAAAATAATAATAATAATAGACAACAACAAAGGATTAATACACAAACGATTTATATTTCAATGCCTTTTTATAATGATTTTCTATTCTGTTAGCAAAAAAGATTAAAAGAATGTTAGATCTACCTAATAAGAAAATAATGTTTGGATTTACATCACAATCATGAATCTGTTCATTATTTAATTCCACTTATCGGAACAAGAAAAAACCTAATAATCAAGTTATCTATCAATATAATTGTCAAAAATGTAAAAACTCTTATATAGAACAAACTTCAAGGAATGCGGAACAAAGAAAACGTGAACATTAGAATGCATTTAAAGGAACAGGAACTTCTAAAATTGCAGAGCATTGTATACAATATAAACATCAAAATGACTGAAATTACAAAATATTAGTTGTTGAACCTAATGATGTTAAAAGAGTAATTAAAGAAAGTTTATGAATGGATATTGTACAAGAAAAAACTGATAGAATTATATACTCACAAAAAAGCTATTAATTAAACATTTTCAAATGACCCATAAGGCAGAGATGGAACCGGTCTACCTTTTTTCAGACCGGTACCGGCACGGGTCTGGAGAAAGGTAGACCGGACCGGACCGGCCGGTAGACCGGTTTGACCGGTCTAGGGTGTGAGTGTGGGTGGGTGTGGCTGTGGGTATGAGCATGAATGTGGATGTGTGGGCGGGTATGGGTGTGGCTCTTCGTTTCATAAATACTCATACCCACACCCACACCGACACTCGCACCCACACCCACCCCACACCCACATGCGCACACACCCCATCCACACCCACCATGTAAAATATTACAGAGTGATAACGGTAAAGAATTTACTGCTAACGTAATAAAAAATTTGAAAAACTTATGGTCAGGATTGGTTATTATAAATGGAAGACTCCGACACCCTCAAAGTCAGGGACTATTGCAGAGGGAAAATGCTACATTATGTGGCATACTGGGAAAGTTTATGGAAGATCGTTGCACAACAAATTGGACTACATGTCTCCTTCCAGTTGTATTCTCTATGAATACTAGTCTATCTCGTAGTGTTAATACAACTCCTTACGAAATCATATTTGGGCAAAAATCGAG